TAAAATAATTCGAAGTGGTCTGTATTCTGTCGAAACTGCCAGACGCGGATCGCGATTTCGATCTTTTTGGATTTCATCAGCGCGTCGCAGACAGCTCCGACAGAACACAGACCAACTTTCACCTGCTGTCTTAACAGTGCGTTTTAGAAAATTCCACAAATGGCGCAGTCAACGCCATCTGTAGCACGATGCGCCATTTGTGGTATTTTCTAAAACGCGCTGTTAAGACAGCAGGTAAAAGTTGGTCTGTGTTCTGTCGAGCTGCCTGCGGCGCGCTGATGAGATCCAAAAAGATCGAAATCGCGATCCGCGTCTGGCAGTTTCAACAGAATACAGACCACTTCGAATTATTTTATTCGAATTATTTTAAACTTGAAATAATTTTTAAAGAAACATGTCAAAATTGAGATAGTTACAAATTACCTAATAAACTCTACTATTTCTACTGCAAAAGACAGTCATTTACAATCGAAAATTGTAATTTTTGCGTTGTCATAAAAATTTAGTTTTCTCCGTGTTCCTTTAAATTAAAATCTGAAAATCTAGATTAAATTACCCGAATTTGGTGGGCATGTTTTTGCAGGAAAATTCGTCGATCTTCCTCGTTGGGAGCGTTCTTGTTTTTGACTCCCGCCTTCGTTAACGTTCGTTCCTCTTTGTCGTCTACCGTCACCATTGCAGCTCGATGGTATCGATCAGAGCGACCGAACTCTCCTTACTACTAAGTTTCGACCCTAAGCTCACCATTAGAATTAATTAGCGTCATTATGTGGTCGGCTATCGTACCGCGCCGTTTTATTGCACATAAAATTTATTCGATTAAAACGACTGGCGAATCGCTTGCGGGAATTAAACGCAACGACAACAATGGCCTAATTGTGATTAGTTATGCTCGTAAACTATCCGCGGCGTTTCACGGTGTCGAACCAACGCACACGCGATATAATAAAATTTCTGATACGTATGCAAGATGGTCTCGGTCTTGAACTTGACGTTCTTTATCGTCCCTCTTCTTCTTCTTCGTCCTCTTCCGGGTCGACAGTTCTGCAAAAGAAAACATTAAATTAACTTTTTATATTCGGGTTAATAGCAACGTCGTACTTTTAATTGTTTGTTTATTATTGCATGAGTTTTAATTGAAAACTTGAACGTTCGAATCGACATACGGACATCGCGTAATTTTAATAACAGAGAATTGAGTTTTACTTTTAAGATCCACGGTTTTCATGTTACAACAGAGAACAGACGCTCGATAGTGCATACACATTATCAATATTTAAACATTTAATTAATCTACAATTAACAGTACTGTATCAAAATAAATAAAAGTAAAACAAAAATACTGGTATGCAAAGGAAGAAAAAGTAGGGAAAGAGCAAATGTAAAGATAGGAGACGAAAAATTAGAAAAAGTGGCTGATTTTAGGTATCTAGGATGTCATATAGTCAGGACGGAAGGAGTAGTAGGGATGTAAAGCAGAGGATAGCACAGGGTTGAATCGCCTTCAATAAAAAGAAATATGCGAACGATAAATTTAGAAATTCGAGGAAGATTGATAAAAGTCTACGTTTGAAGCGCGGCGCTGAACGGATGCGAAACATGGATGGTGGATGCGGCGGAAAAGGAAAGGTTAGAAGCGTTCGAAATGTAGTGTTATAGGCGAATGATGAGGATACTGTGGATCAGGGATGTAACGGAGGTAGTTTTATCGGAACCGAAGGCGGACTAGGAGTTTTTAAATTTGCTTTATCGGAGTCGGAATCAGAGTCGGAGGCAGGGTCAGAAGTGGTGGCATGAGAGAGAATTTTTATTTAAGGGCAAATAAAACATTATTTAGTCAAATTTTTTTCATTTCAATTTTCAATTATAAAATAAAACACAAACAATGTAAATTAGGCCAGCGCCACTAAAAAGTTGTTCGCTCGCTACCGAGCCTGGTAGACACGACAAATGTTGGCTGGCAATTGATTGAAGGGGCCACCACAATAACGGATCATCACTAATACTTATACGTTTTTCTTTATTGAACTCATTTAGTATACTTTTCATTACAACAAATTTGTCGAGAACTGAACACTTTTCGCATGTGGTATTATCATCGTCTTCATCACTACTTAACAATATATTCGACAAAACTGTTTGGACATTACTATGGCTAGCTTCTGCTGGTAATTCCATTCTTGTCCGCTTTTCTACAGGAACGGCAATATTGTCAGCCTCGTTTTTAGATGTATCTGCATCAAATAGTGACATTATTTCTGTTTCAATCTTCTCTTTTAACCACTTCATTAAAAAATTTTGTTTTATAGCGAGGATCTAGATATGTTGCTATTGCAAAGAAATTGTTCGATTGAAGGTCACCAAATTTGGAATTTAATTGATCGACGGTACATTTTATTATACTTTTAAAATTTTTTTCCCCCGCGACATGTATGAAGTTCATACTATGAACCTGTTCATAACAGTCGACACAGGCCGCCGCGCCGCCGCTATGTTATGCTACGACTAAAACCTTCGATTTCAAAGTGTCGGAGCCGAAGTCGGAACCGAAGGTGTAATAATAATCGGAAGTTCCGACTTAACGGAACCGGAGTCGAAGCTCTGTAACATCCCTGCTGTGGATAGAGAAGGTTAGAAATAAAGAGGTACTAGAAAGAATAAGAGAACAAAGGACTCTATGGAAGTCAATAAGAAGTAGGCGAGATAGGTTGGTAAGACACCTTCTCAGGCATGAAGGTGTAGTCAGAGACATATTAAAGGCAGAAACGAAAGTTAGGAGGGGTAGAGGTAGACGTAGATTAGATTACTGTTCGCAAATGGTTAAGGATGTAGGTTGTTCTAGTTTTAGAGAAATGCGAAGATTAGCTCAGGATAGGAAAGAGTGGAGGTGCGTGTCCAACCAGTCTTAGTACTGACGACCTTATGATGATGATAATTAACAAAATAAACATACATTAAAATGTGAAATAATAATGCATACTCATTAAAAGACAGTTTTGATTTATTATCTCAGAATTCCAACTTCCAGAAGTTCAAATCGTCATTTAAACCGTAATTTTACTTATAGTCTGGCTCTTCATTTTCAAATGTAATACTGAGGGAATTATTTCAATACTTCATGTAAATATTTAGGCCGATTGTAGGGGCCAAACATCCTCAAGACACAATTAAAATGTCGCTCTGAGTATATGCGCAAGGGCGATAATTAGATAGCTTTACAAACAAGATGTTTGACTCCTTACAAAAAGTATTGAAATAGTTTGTAATTATTTTAGCGAGCACGAGCGTGTTTGTGTGCAATCGGGCACACGTGTGTGTGAGCGGCTTATCGATTCGCCGACTAGCCGCGAGCGCCTTTCTTCATGTGCGCCGTATCTGTAAACGTGTGTGTCGTTCCTGCGTTCCGGGAAAGCAATTAAATAGTTCAAAGAAAACGAAACTTTTCCGGACGGCTCGAGAAAGTTCCAGAAAGGGCCCAAGAAAGTATATAAAGGAAGAAACGATCGCCGAGAGTAGAGTAGAAATAAATTGACCGTTGCAAGAAGTGAGTCTAGAAATAAATTGACAGTGAATAGTAATGTAGTAACAGTACTGTAAATAAATAGAGTTATTCATCACTTAAGATAGTATCAATTTAATAGGGTTTTTAAGTCCTTTAATAATAATTAGTGTAAATAAATAGTTTTTTGTCGTTGTGAGTCTTAGAAGTTAATTTGTTAAACCCACGAACATTACAGTATCATATTCATCACTTAAGATAGTATTAATTTAATAGTGTTTTTAAGTCCTTTAATAATAATTAGTGTAAATAAATAGTTTTTTGTCGTTGTGAGTCTTAGAAGTTAATTTGTTAAACCCACGAACATTACAACTGGTGTCAGGTGTGAGGTTAAGTAAAGACATTACAACGGCAAAGAAGTTGTACGAATTAAAAGTAGCCGAGTTAAGAACACGAACATTACAATATGCTATGTGCAGGAAACCTACTAGCGCCTCTAACGGCAAGCTGAAAAGTATTCAACTACATTTTTGTTATTGTGTGATCCCGCGAAATTGATTATAAACAGATTCCATTTGATTT